CCCCCCTCCTCTCTCCCCACACACCCCCCCCCTCCCTCAGGCCGCGGCCCGGCCGCCCCGGCCGCGTTGTCCCCGCCGCTTCCCCCTGGCGGTACCTGCGGTGCTGCCGGTGCCGGTGTGTCCGCGGGGTGCCGGGGGTGTCCCGGGGGGTGCCGGGTGCTGGGGGGTCCCGGGGGTCCCGGGGGTCCCGGCCCGGCCCCGGCGCTGCGGCGGCTCCGCGGCTCCGGCCTCGCTCAAACAAAGGACCCGAGAGCCGCGCGCCCCGCCCGCCCCGGACACGCCCCCCGGACACGCCCCCCGGGGAAATGGACACGCCCCCTGGCCACGGCCACGCCCCGCCGAGCCAGCACCGCCCTCTGATACGCCCACGGCGGGGCGAGGCCACGCCCACAACAAAGGATGGGGCAGCGCCGGGCCACGCCCACTGAGGCGGAGCGCGCGCTGGGTCACGCCCATATATGGACATGTCCCGCCCACCTCAGCGGCTGCCGGGGGGGACTGGGACGGACTGGGAGGGACTGGAGGGGGATGGAACGGCACTGGAGCAGTACTGGGATGGACTGAGGGTGACTGGGAAGGACTGGGGAGACTGGGGTAGGATGGGAAGGCACTGAGGCAGTACTGGATTGGGCTGGGAGGGACTGGGAGGGACTGGGGTGGACTGCTGTAGCACTGGAAGCAGACTGGGATGGACTGGGATAACACTGGGATGAGTGGGGTGGACTGGGAGGGACTGGAAGGGAATGACAGAACACTGAAAGGCGCTGGGACCTGGAAGCACTGGGACCAGTATAGGATCACACTGGAAAGTACTGGGCCCAGTATAGAGTGACTGAGGAACTGGGAATGAAGAGGCACTGGGGCCAGCACAGTCCAGTACTAGGAGAGCCTGAGACCAGTATAAACTGGTACTACAACCAGTACAGGTGACATGGGAACTGGGAGGTGCTGGGACCACAACAGAATGGCACTGGGAGACACTGGGATCCGTATGAAGTGATACTGCGAACAGTATGGGATGGCACTGGAATTCTGAGACACTAGGACCAGTATAAGCCAGTACTGGGACCAGTATGGGATGGCACGGGAATTGTGAGGCACTGGGACTAGTATAGGGCGACACTGGAACTGGAAACGCACTGGGCCCAGTACAGGGTGGCACTGGGACCAATACAGGGTGGCACTGGGAGACACTGGGCCCAGTATAAGCCGGTACTGGGAGACACTGGGACTGGTACAGGGCGACACTCGGACTGGGAGGCACTGGGACCAGTAGAAGCTCGTACTGGGATCAGTACAGGGCAGGACAGGGAAGCACTGGGACCAGTACAGGGTGGCACTGGGAGACACTGGGACCAGTATAAGCCGGTACTGGGACCAGTACAGGGCAGGGCAGGGTGGCACTGGGACCAGTACAGGGTGGCACTGGGAGACACTGGGCCCAGTATAAGCCGGCACTGGGACCAGTACAGGGCGACACTGGAACTGGAAGCGCGCTGAGACCAGCAGGGGGCGCGCTGCACCGCCGGGGGCGGAGCCAGCCTGAGGACACCGCGCTCCAGCCAATGGCAGAAGCCGGATCCTAGCGCCAACCAATCAGAGAACGGCAGCTCCGCCAAGCCCCGCCCCCACTCCCCCTCCCCTCGGGCAGCGCGCGGGGCCGCACGTGCCCTAAGGGGGCGTGGCCCCGCCGAGTTTAGCCCCGCCCCCCCTCGGCCTCGCCCCGCCCCCGGCAGGCCCGGCTGGGTGGGGGAGGGGTGGGGATGGTTCCCGTTTTTAACCCCGATGTCCCCGCGTGCCACCGGGGGGGGGGAGGGGAGGGGGGGGTTGCAGACCCTCCCCCACCCTCGTGTCCGGTCCTTTCTGGGAAAATTTGGGATTTGCGTGAGGAAATTCGGGAATTGCACGGGGAAAATTTGGGAATTCCACGGGGAATTCTGGGATTTGCGAGAGAATTTGGGGCTTACACAGTGAATTCTGCGATGTGCACGGGGAAATTTAGGCTTTCCACAAGGAAATTTTGGGATTTGCACAGGAAATTCGGGATTTGTGCGAGGGAATTCTGCGATTTGCAGGGGAAAATTGGTGCTTGCACGAAGAAATTTGGGATTTACATGGGGAAATGTGGTACTTGCACGCGGAATTCTGGGATTCTCACGGGAAAATTTGGGATTTGCACACGGAAATTCGGGAATTCTGCGAGGAAATTCGGGATTTGCACGGGGAAATTCGGGAATTCCACGGGGGATCACGTGACCCTTTGCACGAGGACCCCCCCTCGGGGGCTGTCACGAGGTCACGTGACCCCCCCCGAGCGCCCCCGCCCCCCTCACGTGACCCTCCCCCCAGCAACAACGGCCGAGCCGCTCTCTGATTGGCCGGTGGCTCCGTGACGTCACGGCAGGGCGCGCCGGGCCGTTGCCATGGCAACAGCGGGAGCTGAGGTGGGGGGACATGGAGGCCTTGGAAAGGGGAATTTGGACCCAAAAATGGCTCAAAATGGCCCAAAAATCAGGGTTGGAATCCTCAAAGGGACCTCTTGGCTCTAAAAAGCAGAATTTGGGCCTAAAATTGAAGATTTTCGACCGAAACATGAGGCATGCGGGTCTAAATGTAAGAGTTTGGGCCTATAAATGGGATTTGGAGCCCTAAAATTGAGATTTGTTTTTTAAAAAAAGGGAGTTTGGCCTTAAAATCCATAATTTTGTCCCCTCTAAAAGGGGGTTGCTCCCAAAAAAGAGGCGTTTGGTCCCAAAAAGGAAATGTTTGGTCCTAAAAATGAGGTTTTCTACTTCCCAAAAAATCAGGTATGGACATTTACATGAGGATTTGGAGCGCAAAGAGAAGCTTTTGGTCAAAAAAATGAGGATTTTTGTCATTAAAAGAGGACAAAATAATTTTAAACTCCCCAAATTTCATCCTAAAAATGAAGCAATTGGAGCAAAAATTGTGGCTTCAACCCTAAAACTGTGGATTTTTACCCTAAAACAGAGGGAATTGACCCTAAAATTGAGTGTTTGGACCCAAAAGTGGAATTTTGTGTCCTATAAATGAAGAATTTAGGCCAAAATGAGGCTTTTGGCCCTAAAATTTATATTTGAGCCCCCCAAAATTAGCTTTTTCTTGCTCAAACGAGAGGTTTAAACCCTAAAACAGGAGGTTTCCTCCTAAAAAGTGACTTTTGGCCTCCAACGTGAGGGAAAATGCAGCTTTGGACCTTAAATTAGTGATTTTTAGCCCTAGAAATGTGGGTTTGGACCCTAAAATGAGTCTTCGAACATTAAAAATGCAGATTTTACCATAAAAAAAATCGAGATTTAGAACTGAAAAAGAATCCTTTTAAAAGTAATAATTAAACTTGGAGGTTTAAACATGTTTTGGATGCAGGAATTGGGGATTTATCCCCCAAATGGGGCTTTAACTTTTTAAAATGATGCTTTGTGACCCTAAAAATGAGAGTTTGGACCCTAAAAATGAAGGTTTAGGCCAGTAAAACAGATGGGTTTAATTCTAAAAATTGCCTTTTTCTGCTAAAATAAGGATTTGGGACCCTAAAATTGAGGATTCTGATTAAAGACAGGGGGGGATTGACCTTAAAAATGAACTTTCGATCTCCAAAAATAAAGGATTTGGCCCCAGAAACGGGAAGTTGAAAAGCGGAAATCGTGGGTTTTGGGGGGAAAAAATGAAAATTTGGAACCCTCTGCCCCCTCCGGCCCCTCCCCCACCGCGGCTGTTCCCGGTCCGCCAGGGGGCGCCATCTCCGTCTCCATGGCAACCGCCAGGGGGCGCCATTCCCCGTCTCCATGACAACGCCCCCTCCCCAATGCGGCCACCAGGGGGCGCCAAAACTTTCTCCCCCAAGCCCCGCCCACCGCCATTGATTGACAGGAAGGGGGCGGAGCCAATTGCACAAAACGCTCTAATCAGCAGCGGCCGCACGGTCAGGCCCCGCCCCCCCACGCACGACGTCACACAGGAAGCCCCGCCTCTCTGTCGCCTTGACATCACTTCCGGTTCATCAGCGTTGGCGGTGGCCATGTTGCTGCGCTGGGAAAGCTCCGCCCCCTTTGCCATAGGGGTGTGGCCAAAGATCCCGCCCCTTTGTGTGGGCGGGGCTTTAGCGTGGCCAATGGGAGGGTGGCAGGAGAAAGCCCCGCCCCTTTCCCGGGGGTGACGCCTCAAAGCTGCCAAAGCTCCGCCTCCCCCAGGTAAAACCACGCCTATTTATGAAACCACGCCCACATTTGGTTGACCACGCCCCTAGCCAGCACCATATGTGGACTAGGCCACGCCCTTTTAGTGACCCCCGCCCCTTTCAGGCCACACCTCCCGGCTAAGCCCCACCCCACTGGAGAGGCCCCGCCCACCGGCATCCGGGGTCCTCCCCCTTCCCGCCTGGGGCTTCATTTTGGGGGAAATTCTTCCCTTTTTGGGGTCCTTCATTCCTCTTTGCCCCAAGGGGGCGGAGCTTCAGGGCGGGGCGTGTCCCTCCACCTTCTGGGGGGTCTCCCCTGTTTTGGGGCGCCGCCCCTCCCCCCTCCTCATACCTTGTAATAGGCGGGGGGAGGGGCTGTGGGGGGGAGGGGCAGCTCGCGCAGGGGGTGGGCGGGGCCGTGGGGGCGGGGCCGTGTCCCTGCCCCTCCCCCACCCCTCGGGGTTTTTGGGGGTCTCCGGGGGCGCCGCCGCCACCACAGGGCCCCCCCCGCCCCCACCAGCGCCAGCAGCGCCGCCCCTCCCCCCGCGCCCCCCAGCACCGCCCCCCCACGCGCGGGGGGAGGGCCCGGCCCGGGCGGGCTCGTCTGATTGGCTGAACCTGGGAAAGGGGGGGGAGGGGTCAGGGGGGAGGGGCTTCAAGTGGACAAAGCCTCTCCCCCCTGCCCCTCCCCCCCACCTTTACCTGTCCCGTCTTCGTCCGGCAGAGGCTCCGCCCCGGGGCCTGGGGGGGGGAGGGGAAGGTGAGGATGGGGAGGGTGGGGGAGGGGCGGGGTGGGGGAGGGGTCACTCACGCTGTCCCACGCGCAGGGTGACCCTCATGGCCCGGGTCAGGCAGGCCCCGCCCTGGCGATTCTCCAGCCCCTCGGGGGTCCCGTCTGATGTGGCTGGAGAGGGCACAGTGACGTCATCAGTGACGTCATCAGATAATAAAAAAACCCTGTGACATCAAAGCACGGTCACACCCTCTCCTTGATGTCATCGTTCATTGTGGTGATGTCACACCTTGGTGACAGCTGCCCTGTGACGTCATCGCCAACCCCAGTGACATCACAGCCTCACTGTCACACACTGATGGCATCACGGGGAGTGATGACGTCATAATGACATCACTCCCACCCTACCGCTGTCACCTCCCTATGGCATCACGCCTCTGATGACATCAGCAACCCCTTGATGACACCACCCGTGCTTCTGATGACATCACCACCCTGGTGACATCATACTCTGATGACATCACCACCCTGGTGACATCACAGGGACCTCCCTGAGGGCGAAAGAGCCCCAAGACCCCCCCGAAACAACCCCCTACAGCTGGCCCCTCCCTGATGTCATCACCACCCCACGTGATGACATCACCACCCCTCGCAATGATATCATCACCCTGATGACGTCACCAGCAAACCCTGATAACAACCGAACAACCCCCGGCCCTCCAACCCCTCCCCAATGACATCACTCCTTTGTGATGACATCACCACCCCCCACAACGACACCGCCCCCCCCCCCCCCGGTGGCGATGACGTCACGGCTCACTGATGATGTAATAGTCGTGCTGGCGGCGGAACTCGTGTCCCCAGAGGTTGGGGCTGAACTCCTGGAATTTGATGGTGAAGCGCACGTCGCGCTGGGGGCGGTCACAGGTGAGCAGCAGGGTGGGGGCGGGGGGCACCTGGCAGCGCCGCGCCTGCGCCCCCCCCACCAGGTACAGCTTGTAATACTCGTACTGCGCCCCCCCCGCGCCCCCCGGGCACACCAGGTCCAGGCGGTCACCGATCTGTGGGTACAGCACATAGCCACCATCGGCCAGGAACCTGTGGGGACACGGTGACACTGTGACATTGTATGTGTGACACTGTGGGTACAGCACATAGCCACCATTGGCCAGGAACCTGTGGGGACATGGTGACACCGTGTGTGACACTGTGACACTGTGACACTGTGAGTGACACTGTGTGTGACACTGTGTGTGTGACACTGTGTGTGTGACACTGTGGGTACAGCACATAGCCACCATCGGCCAGGAACCTGTGGGGACATGGTGACACCATGTGTGACACTGTGACACTGTGACACTGTGAGTGACACTGTGAGTGACACTGTGTGTGACACTGCGGGTACAGCACATAGCCACCATCGGCCAGGAACCTGTGGGGACACGGTGACAACGTGTGTGACACTGTGACACTGTGACACTGTGAGTGACACTGTGTGTGACACTGTGTGTGACACTGTGTGTGACACTGTGTGTATGTGACATTGTGACACTGTGTGTGTGACACTGTGACACTGTGTGGCACAGCGACAGGTGTGACACAGCAGGGACGTGTGACACTGCCACCATGGGGATGACACTGTGTGATGGCACAGGACTGTGACACTGCCAGGCATGGGGACACGGTGACAATCCCATTACGGTGACACCCCTGTCACGGTGACACCATCATAATGGTGACACCCCTGTCATGGTGACACTCCCATTACAGTGACACCCCTGTCACGGTGACACCCTCGTCATGGTGACACTCCCATTACGGTGACACCCCTGTCACGGTGACAGCCCTGTCACGGTGACACCCCCGTCAGGCGCCCCATAGGGTTGGGGGGGGATGGGCAGCCATTGTTGTCACCGTGGGAACGGCGCCGCTGCCCCTCCCCCACCCGCTCAGTGGGGGGCCTGTGGGGGGAGGGGACGCAGCAGGGGGGACCCGGGGCCGGGGGCACCCGAGGGGGGTGACAACGTGGGACTGTGGCCGTCAGCGTGTGGCTGTCACCGTGTCACACACCCAGAATGTCACAGCGTCACACACACTGTCACAGTGTCACACTCAGGGTGTCACACGGTGTCACTGTGTCACGGTGTCAGTCACATTGTCACAGTTACAGCGTCACACGGTGTCACAGTGTCACACTCCCAGTGCCACACAGCGTCACCCTCGGTGTCACACAGCGCCACAAGTTGTCACACGATGTCACACGCAGTTACAGCATCAGGTGTCACACAATGTCACAC